TGATTCCTTGTCTGTCAGAAATAAGTCTGCTGAAAAAGCAGGTTTATTTGAAAGCTTTACATCTGTCAAATTTAAGTAAAAATTCACCAAATGGAACACAGCCTTTTTAACTTGAGCACAGAATCGTTTCTTGATGTGTTTGCTGAATTAGATGCTAGATAAAAACTTCTTTTATCGATATGTGTGCTGAAAATACCCGGGCCGAGTGGATTCAAGGATAAAGTCGACGAAGATAATCTTGTCAGTGTTATTTAGGACCTAATGCAATGTTCAGCTTGAATTGTTTCGCTTAGCTGTAGCAAAGTAAACAGAAAATCGATGAAGAGAATCGAACATTACAAGTAGGCCCTTTTGAACGCTCACTGTCGAATTTCAGAACCTAGCACTGAAAAAACTCGACGGTACCTCTATTTATGCTAAGAGATAAACATTGCAAGTCCCTCTTACTTGAAGAATTATGCAATAGAACGGCATGCTATGCCTCGCCCCCATCAGCAAAAAAAACTGGGGTTGTATAAACTGTTCTATAGCTTAATTTCCAAGTAGGTGGGACTTTCATAGCTAATCTAAAAGCATACATAAAGGAACCGTCTGATAATTTCAATGCTTGGTACAGAAAAATTTCGCATAAGTGTCCAACCCGTTTAATGTGGTGTACTGCTGATTTTCAGTGTTGCCCAATGATTAGGGAACTTTCATAAATAACGTAGTAGTTGAGGTAGGAGAGGGGTTGCAGAAGTTGGGACCGGCTTTTGTATTAGGTGTATTACAAAACACGCTCCGATGGGGTCATTGGTCAAAAATATACGTAATTTATGGATGGCCCTAATTTGACTTCCAATGCTGTGTCGCAATGGACGAGTTAAATATAACTCGTGGTTAAAAATGACAGATGAGTTATCGAATAACCATGCTATACGAGCGTGGTTATTTCGGACCGACTAGAATTTAAATTTTGGTAACCGTGGCTGAGTTCTGTTTGAAAACTGATCAATTTCCGGCATTTTCGAACATTGAAAATAGCTTTCGAAATGTCACGTTTAGCCACGAGTTAAATTTAACCCGGAAATTCGGCAGTGAGCATGCATAAGGGCGTATACGCGATGATCGATTCTCTTCATCGATTTTCTCTTTGCATTGCTACAGCTAATCGAAACAATTTGATAGAATTTGATCAATGCAGAGTTGTAACAGGTTGTATTCCATTTGGCAACAGCAAACGCACCGAGAAACGTTAATTCTAGCGAGTTATTAACAAAAAAGAAAATCGACGACGATAATCGATCATCGCGTTTACGTCCTTATGCATGCTCACAGTCGAATTGGTACACAGCCCAAAAAGTATTTCTCGATTACTTTTTCGAAAGGAAGTATCAGCTTTTGTAAACAACGCAATTGATCGTCGATTTGGCGTAACTGGTTGGTCTCCCACGCATGCTAACACTACCATCAGATAGAGGAAATTTTCCCCTACCTGATATAGTGGTGTTAGTATGTGGGGGAGCTATCACTTATGCCAAACCGACGATAAAATGCGTTGTTTATAAAAGCTGATATGTCCTTTCGAAGAAGTAATCGAGATTTGTAGTTATCATTCAGGCAACGAGCGCTTGCACCATCGAGGCGTATGCCTTTCGTCACCTTCCTTGGAATGACCCTGTAAACCTTCCGCCGTACGAAGATCGTTGTCAACTCCTGGGTCTTGAAACACTAGAATATAGGCGGACGATTAGTCAGGCCGTGCGCGCAGCGAAAGTACTTATTGGTGATCGACTCTCCAGGAATCTTGGCTGAATTCGAAATCTACGCACCCGAACGAGTTCTTCGGTCGAGGAGTTTCCTGCATCTTGGACCTCGTGCTGCGAACTACAGCTTGCATGACCCAATACGGTTCATGTCTGGGCGTTTCAACGAGTTTTACGAGTTTTTCGACTTCAACTGTGCAGCGGAAACCTTTCGTCACCGTATTCAACGCAGACTCCTGAGAAGGTGAGTAGCTGTCCATTTAATTTACACGTGAAGGATTGTGCTACCTGTTTATTTTTTGTTTCCGGTTCAACTGCATGACGAGGACTTCTATCTGATTCACGGACAACTCTATGTCATAGGAGGATAACTTTTTTTATGCTATAGACTTGATTAATGTTCGTTGTAATTGTATTGTATTATTGTGATTCATGTATTTCGAAAAGATATGGGGTTTTTACGCCTTTTCTAGGCTTTTCTCCATCAGGCTTCATTTAGACACGTTAAGTCCGATGAAGAAAAACAAAATAAATAATAAATAATAATAAGCTACTATAATCTTTATTCTAAGCCTAAACCTTACATTATATCTGAATACAATGGTACAAAAAGAATTGAAATCCATCCATAAATGGCCAAGCCAACGCTTGTAAAACCTGACACTATTTTGCCACACTTTTTTTTTTTATTTGCACCCCAGTATAGTCCACAAAGACGTAGTCTTACGTCAAAACTACTCCATATATATCATACCTCTAAAATGTCTTATTGAGGCTATAACCAAAGAGGTAACTCACTCTATCTATTGAGCACACGAAAATTACATTTTCAACCACTGTGCGATGTTGTGAACGAGCTTGCTTCTCGGCATCTGGACAGGCGCTGTTTTACAACATCGACACGGATAGTGCAGGCTCGGTATTATGACAGTTGGTATTATACGAGATAGGCACTTGTCACTGGTAGGTGGATTAATCAATGCTATATTTTTCGAATAAGAAAAGCTCCGATTGCTCAAGTATTTTGCCCACTCAGGTACACTTCAAAGCCATACCCGTTTGTCTGATGTTTGATTGTATTCTATTCGCAGAAAGTGTATTTTTTTTTTTTTTTTTTTTTTCCTTTGGTTTGTTTTTTCTGTCGATCTTATTTTCCGTGCTGAGCACCAATGCTACCGACGTGCCAGGAAGGCAGCTCCCACACCTGGACCCTACCTATCGACCCATCAACTCATGAACCGGGGACCAACGGCTTTACTTTCCATCCGAAGGAAGGCGAGATCAGAGATGTTATGCCTCAGAACATCCCGGCGGCGCCGACTGGGATTGAACCCAGGCCTGCTGGGGTGAGAGGTAATCACGCCTACCACTACACCACCGGCGCCGTTGCAGAAAGTGTATTATGCCGAAACGATTGTTTCCAGTACACTGGGTATAGTATGTCTAATGTTTTTCCAAAGCTCAAAGAAAGATTTTTAGGAATCACGGTGTTTTTGATACGTCAATAAATTACTTAGCTTCGATCATTTTCTTCTACCGCACGAACACGTTCTATTTTCCAACATGAAATTCGCATTTAAAGACGGAGATGAACAAGAATTTTATGATGGAATTTGATGTAATGCGAGTTTTGTTTCCATGCAAATGCCAGAGGATTAGAAGGAATTTGAATGTTTTCGTAAACGCTTAATTCGTTCCTTTGCTGCTTTCACCACACACAAACACACACACACACCGTACGGTATGTTTCGTGCTGTAGTCGGCTGGTGGGAGTGAAATAATTTCAACACCGTACGCTCAGTTATTCTAACAAAGTCTTAAGAGTGGTATATTTCGAGAGCACGGCATTGCCTCACAACCACATTCCCAAGCTCCGAGCCCAAACTCTCTATTTTACCATTTTCGACCCACGAAGCGTGGCATGGGGTGGTTTGGAGAAGAAAATACTGCCACCATCAAAACACACTTACTACCGGCACTAACGGGTAGAAACTGGCAAGAAACGATAACTTTGGTTGCAAATGAGTGAGTTTAATAAGTTAAAGAAATGGAACAGGAACAACTTTTCTAATTAGTGTCTAAATTTTCCGAATCGTTGTTGGTGTTCTATTAATCTACTGGTGATCATTTCAACGAGCGTAGGAATGCTTTGTCAACTAAAGTGGAACGAAATCTCTTTCGAGCGAGCAATTAAACACTCGAGAGTTGTGAATATATTATTCTCGTTCGTTTGCATTCTGCCTTTTGGGGTGAAAGCATAAAATTTGATGTGCATAGTACTCGTTCTATAGCTTTTCCAGTCAGGCAGCAGCTCTTATTTGAAATAACCAATTAGCAGTTCTGTACGACCTACTAAAGTAAGACGAAATGTATTTACTATTATTAAAATTTTTGACATTTTCGTTTACTGTAAGTAGGGGTGGTCAATATAACATAAGATGAGCCATGACTGATTGGTATTGATGGTTGCTCAATTTAAAAACGAATCAGGAAACGGGGCGCTGTTAATTTAATGGTGGTATGATTAAGGAGGATTGAATTGTTTTACTAAAGCTGTTAAGAAGACCTGTCAAATGTTTGGCTAACATCGGGCTAATTTTGTTTGATGATATTTCACAGTTGAAGGCCGGGGGTCTGTAATTAAATTTATTCCTTCATGATTCATACAACAATGAACTTTCAATGGTTATTGAAACTACTTATCTACTTTCATGTACATCGGATTTATCCTCATGATGTTAGTTTGGGTGTGAACATTCCTAAATTGGTTAGTTTTGAAACATTTTGTAGGAGGAAATTTTTGGCAAGCAGTTATTGGGAGCGATATTTCTATGTGTTTTTGTTAATCTTCCAGAACGTAGGTGAAATGTATGTAATGTCAGCCTGAGTGTCCCTAATTTGGGCCCATACATAAATTCAGCAATCGACTAAATTTTCAATAGCAACCAAAAATATCCATTAGTACCGTTCCAATGACGAGTTCATCTTGATACAATTGATAAATAGCAAATTTTTAGCGATGGGCCCAATCTTAGATCCATAGGCCAACATTAGAGCCATTTCCTCTAGTTTATTAAATTTTAGAGCTGGTAAATTAACCCGTGAAACTAAGAGTAAAAATAGAAACGATTTCTATCGCTTCTGCGTAACGCTAGCCGACGTAGCATTGCATGATTTTCTTGTATTATGCCATTACCATGTTCACTAATAAAGGAGCTCGGATCATAATAATAACTTTTAACGTCGTTGACCTACCTGGTCCAGTTTTCCCGATAGAGAATGTTCAGCGACACAGTGATATCCCAAATGTTTTCCACCGTTCTTTGTCTGGCTTCTATGGATTCGTGCAGCAGTTGCTGGGAAAGGGTAAGATTGCTATCGCTACGTGTTGATAATGGTTTGAGCTGACGATTCGTTGAAGCAAGCATTCGCTGTTGCATCTGTGAAGCACCTCCCTCGATTGCAAGGAAGATAAATGATCCTGTAAAAGAAGGAGTATATATTATGGATTTTAAATATGCATGAAACAGGTTAGTTTTTAAAATTTGCTTGAATATGTTCAAATTTAATATGAAGCATAAAAAAAAATAAATGAACTGCAACTACAACCGTACATTTTTTTCGAAACGTTTGACTAAAATATTTGATCCTTGATGGTGCAGTTGAGAAAATCTGCGGATTGGAAATTTTGTCGATTTTCCAGAGTATCATTGTAACCACAGAAAAAATCTAAAAAAATAAAATCAACTTAAGGGGTTACGCCACCCTAGAATACAGAAAAATGCACCAACTTCATTAATTTTTTTTTTGTTATTTAATAAAGTCACATACTAAATTAACTTATATGGGCTTATGGTACACTTAATTAGGGGTGTTTACAGTATTTTTTCATAAGGGGAAACCATGTGTGGCAGTTGGCAGCACTGCGAGTTCCTGGCACTGCTTCCCGTGTAGTGTTACGCGGCCCACACTTTCTTCGTCGTAAATATGAACCTAGAACAAAAACGAGTGGTTTTTCTTATTTTATATAAGAATACCTAGAGAAGTACATACGGAGATGAAAATTTTTTGAATTTTACGCATATGGGACTTGTTTTTGCAAAAAATCAGTTTTTTCGCCTGAAATTTGTTTCTAAAATTGTTTACCACAATTGCATTTTTTGATCAATTAAAAAGTTCGTATGCACTTCTCTAGATAATTAATCAGAGAATGCAATCGTCAAAGTCTAGATCAAATTGATTCAAAATTGCAGATGCTATCGTGTGGGCCGCGGAGAGAAATGTTGTAAAAACGCGGTTGAAGTTTGAGGTACAGATTTTTGGCAAAAGTAAGGGAATATATATAGTTGAAGCACCCCTAATTATGTGTACTATAAGCCCATATAAGTTAATTTAGTATGTGACTTTATTAAATAACAAAAAAAAATAATGAAGTTGGTGCATTTTTCTGTATTCTAGGGTGGCGTAACCCCTTAACTAACAACCATGGAAGGTCACTGAGCTTAACTAGGGTAGGTGTAAAAGTTCAGTTAGAACGTAACAACCATGAGGAAGAAGAAATTGAAACATCCAGAATGTTTTGAATCAAGATTATACATTTCTATTCTTCTTCTTCTTCTTTGCCTATTACGTCCCAATTTGAACTTTACGCACTCTTTCAACGAAGTGTTATTTGAGTAAGTTTATGAGATCTTTCTATTCCTCATTGGCGTAGCTAGAAAATTTATTTGTTGAATTTTTTTTTTAAATTTTTGTAAACTACGGTTAAATAAAAATTCGCGAAGATGCTTGTTTTCGGGTACATTTTTCTGTGACCAATAATATGACATTGAGGCTTACTTTTATTTTAATGGTGATGCATTAATTTTGATTATATTTAGTTCATAGCAATGAATGAAATTTGATTGGGACCTCGATTGGGGGAGCCTTAAAAGCTTACTGAATTTGAACAAGCAATGATCATTTGTTCATGCTTTTTGTAATAAAATCACATAGCGTCTGGATGCCATAAATGTAAGCATCTCAAACTTAAGAAAATGCTCAGAGTTAGGTAGTTCCATGAATTTAAAAAAAAATCTCAGACATAGGAACCATAATTATATTCTAGGAGATTGAATCTGAAAGATGGTAAAGTGCACAATGAATAAACTTCAAGATTAAGGTTTAAAAATAAAAAAAAATGATAAGTCTGCTTATAATTTGTCATGATTCTGATATTTCAATATAAAAGAAAGTAATAAAGCATTTATTCAGAACAATTTTTTATTCGATGCATCGGACTAACTAACATTCGGAGTCAATCAAGATTTAACTTTAATTCTAATCGAAAGGAATGAACTCGAAACTTGAATGATTGTGTCCCTGTTTGTAACCAGATAATAAATGAATTTGGGATTTTTTAAATTTTAAATGAAGTTGATATGCTTAAGGAATTTATACATATTAGGTATATGTAGAAATTTCCATCTCTTCGTTGAAATTTATGCCTGGAGTTCAGCTGCTGGAGTGCTAATTCTTGACACTATAGCTAAATCAACAAGGCACAGATCTTTCCCATAGAGAATGTACAAACATGTCCATAAAATCTAGAGTCATCATTCATGATTCCATCAGATTCCATTAGCTGGAAAACTTTTGAATACCGTAATCTGGGGATAAATTGATCACTATTTAACGTAAATAAATAAATTTCAACAATAAACTAAATTGAAAAACTAATGGTAGGGGAAATGGATGTCATGTCGGCCTATATGCCCCTAATTTGGGCCCAAACATAAATATAGCAATCGACTGAATTTTCAATAGCGAACAAAAATATCCATTAGTACGGTCCCAATGACGCGTTCATCTAGATAAAATTGATAAATAGCAGATTTTTAGCGATGGGCCCAATCTTAGATCCATAGGCCAACATAAGAGCCTTTTCCCCTATTTAAATTGGTGGCTTTGAGGGCTCCATCGTCCTGCATGATTTCTTATAATATTGTTAATTTTTAGGAAATTTTTGAAATCTTAAATTTAAAAATATCGATATGGAGTGAAATTGATCAACCCCTCAAATGGCTTCCCAGAGCATTTCTGGTAATTGTTCTTATTAAATGTGGGTTCCCTGAATCCGATTCAGATGCTAAAACCCTTGTGTGAAAAATGCTTTCAGGCCAAAAAAGATGTCTTAAATGCACAGTTGCGCCTAAATGACTGCAATTCCATTGAAAAATGTTGGTAATTTTGCGAAAAACCCTGGATTTCGTGATATTTGAAACATTTTACCACAATTTATTAAATAATTCGGATTCATTAACACTTAGTTCAGTAAAACATGATACTTGAATGGTGATGGATTCAATCATTGCAGTCCTATGATCGTTTGTTTGATGTTGATATTGTATGCTACTTAACGTCAGCTCTATAAAATTGAAATCTATGCAATCATTTTTTTTGTTAGGAAAAACACATCAAGACAATCATTGGAGTCTCAGGATTTAATTTAAAGATTTCTCTTGTTATCTATCACCAACCATGTTATACGTGACAGCTAAAATTGCAACGCATAATGATCAATTTCACACCGGTGATCAATTTTCCCACGGATTTCGGTACTTCCTGAACAACCTACCCAAGTAACCAAAAGTTCCGCATTCAACGATTAAAATCACTTCCAAGTTCCATAAAGTTCAAATAAAGTTCCGACAGAAATTTTCAAGTTCCATAAAGTTCAAATAAAGTTCCGACAGAACTTTCAGTTCCATAAAGTTCAAATAAAGTCCCGACAGAACTTTCAAGTTCCATAAAGTTCAAATAAAGTTCCGACAGAACTTTCAAGTTCCATAAAGTTCCGACAGAACTTTCAAGTTCCATAAAGTTCAAATAAAGTTCTGACAGAACTTTCAAGCCACATGAAGCAATCCGCACAAGTCTTTACTAGTAAAAAAAATTAATGTACGTAAATATGGAATGATCAGTGGCCCGAATAAATCATAATTCTTATATTTATGCAGAGCATCAACATTCTATCCAAACATAAAAAAATAAAAAGTAATTTCCTTGATTCGAACCCGTGTATTCGACATGCGATCTACGAACGCAAACCACTGTGCCACAAATGTGTTGGAATACTATGCGGGCAAACACCAATTTAAAATTCATCAAGGTGTTGTGTTTCGTATTCAAGCTGGCACTGAAAACTCCAACAACAGTTCACTTTATTATATCTCAGATGACGCAGCGGTTCATGTTGGGGCTCTCACGCAGAGAAGGACTGGGTTTAATTCTTCAAACAGCTCCAATTCTATTACTTATACTGATAAATAAACAATACACATTAATACCTGCCTTTAGAAAATTACTTTCATAAAAGTGCGTACTAAAATAAGATTTGGTGTAGAGGACAAAAACCTTTTTTAATTTATTTTCTAAAAGTTCCGTTCAAGTTACGCCAGAAGCTGCTTAAAATGCTCTTCAATTATGATACCGCAACTTTCAAGTTCTTATAACGACTTAAAAATGAGGCTGCTTAGAATTCTATAGACCACCACCAACCAAGGTGCTTAAGCCACAAATAGCCTTTTATCAGAACTTTTGGTTACTTGGGTACAGTCTTGTCAACTTGATCAATCTGAAGTTTTGGAAAATATTCAGAGAACTTTACTAATATGTTTGTCTACATGAAGATCTTTTGAATATTTCCTGCTGATGATGTCTGAAAGAATATCCTGAACATCTACAAAACTCCCTTACTTTTTACAAAATTTCCTCTATGTACTTCCCTGAATTTATTCCAATAATTCTACAAAGATCTCTAATCATCTTTGCACTTCTGAAAAGACACCTATCAACTACAAACATTCTTGAACATCTGTAAAGTTCCTTGAAATTTAACGAAGTTCTCAAATCCCCCAAGAAGTTTATGGAGTTTTTCCGAATTAAGATCTGTGGCAAACTGCAACGAAGTTCCCTATACTGAAGCGAGAATTTCTAAAGTTCATAGCAGTTTATCTTCTACAAAATTCCCTGAACTTTTTCAAAATTCCTTACACTTATATTAAATTTTACGCAGCTCCTCAAAATGCTACGAAATTCGCAAAACTTCTCAAAAGTTTACTGTACTTCTACGTTTTTCAATGATTTTCCACGAAGTTCCACTAACGCAATTTCTTGCATTTGTTAGTAGTTTCCACAACTATTCCAAGACCATGAGGCTTCAAAAAAGTGCCCTAAAATTATATACAGGTTCTCGATCAATAATTCGCTTCCCTGAAATAAAATAATATTCCCTTAACTTCTACGAAGCTTCTCAAACTCAAATAAATTTTCCACTTCTACGCAGTTTTCAGAAGTTTCTACGATTTTGTCTGTAGATGTATGAAGTTCCCAAAATTTATGATAAGTTTCTTCAATTTCTACGGTTTTCCCTGAACTTCTTAGAAGTCCTTGAAGCTTTACGAACTACCAAAAAGTTAAAGAAAAATCCCTGGGCTCATT